GGAAAAGGTAAGTTTTCTTGTTATTTTTCTTTAATATTAATATTTAATTTTTGACATGTATAGTTTTAGGTTTAAATTTATTTGTGTGAAAAATTTGTTGTTGATAATTGAAGATTTTATTTTGGAAAAGGAGAAGGAAAAAGAGAAGGAGAAGGTAAAATTTATTATTATTATTATTATTATTATTTTGATTTTTGCATGTATAGTTTTAGGTTTTAGATTTTTTTATGTGGAAAATTTGTTGATTATGTTAATTATTCAAATTTTTGTTTTGTTTTGTTTTGGAGAAGGAGATTAGTGTAAAAGGTATTTTTTTGTAATTTTTTATAATAATAATTTTTTTCATGCATATTTTTAGGTTTTAGATTTTCTTATGTGAAAAATTTGTTGATGTTTTTTATGATTCAAATTTTTAGGAGTTTAGAGTTTTTTTAAGTGTTTAGAAAGAGAAGGGTGAATAGTTGTGGTTTTGCATGGTTTTAATTTTTTGATGTTGATGTTGAAGAATATAAGAGTGATTAGTTGTAGTTTTGATTTGGAACTAATTTTGTTATGTGTTATATAATTTAACTTATATGAAATTAATTTTTTTGTAAATTAAATTGAAGTTTAAATTTTTTTGTTTGTTTGGTTTTAATTATTTGATCTTCATGTAAGAGGATAAAATTATTTTATTTAGGGTTTAATTGATTGTTCATTATTAAGAGGCTTAAATATTTTTTATTTCAATTTTATGTGCACACTTCTTGATTGTGTATATTTAAGTTGAGTAATTTATAGATTATGAGTTTATATTTGATAATTGTGTGTTATATACCAATTTAATATTTTTTCATTTTAATTTTTAATTTTGATTTACTAATTGTGGATATTGTATAGTTAATAGTTATAATTTTAGAATGCCTCGTCAAAGAGTTAATTTAGGACTCATTAATGATTCATTCTTGAGTATGCAATCAATTCACATCTTTGAGCATGTATGGAATGATCAGCCTAATAGAGTTCTTCGTGTTATAAGAGCTACCAAAAGCAATCGTCGAGATGGGTCAATTCCTGACGAAGTTCGATCGACCTTTTCTTGCACGAGCAAAGATGTTGAGAGTGGCAAAGATGTCATACTTTTCTATTAACCACCACTTAATTTCAGCATTAGTTGCGCAGCAGAGACCCGAAACACACACTTATAATTACCTAATATTAAACTTTGACCATTCAACCATATAAACCCTAAAATTAAACCTTAAACATTCATCCTTAAACTCTCAACCCTAACATTCATAATACTAAACTTTTAAAATGTATAACCTAATACTAAATCGTACACCTTCAAAATAAACCCAAAACACTACACCCCAAATCCTAAACCTTTAAACTTTAAAACCTTAAACTCATGTTATTTTAGAGGGTGTCTTCAAAGGGTTGACGTTTGCCATGTGAACACAAGTCATCACTCCTATTGACGACTACAAACTAACGACTACAAACGAACAAGAAAACGTGAAGGAGATTAACGTTTTCCATTTAAACGAATAAATTGCATAAGTGTCGTCACCCCTTTTGACGACACTTGTGCAATTAGGTGTTGTCACCCCATTAACGACATCTTTTATATATTTTCATGTGATCAAAACAATTTATTTCAGTAAATTATTTTTTAAACTTTTTATTTTTAAAAATATTTAGTTATTTTTATTTATTCAGGCCAAAAGCCCCTAGTAGAAACACATTTTTTTTAATATGTAGGTGTTGTTGTATCGAGTAACAATACATGAGGATGTTTTTCTCTTTGATGTCCATGTAATTGTTGTTGTATGGGTCAATGTGACTATAATTAGAGCTGATTTTTATTTTATTAATATAATTTATTGTAACTAAAAAATATTGATTTTAATAAATATGTAATAATTTATTAAATTAAAATATTTTATAATATTGTTTAAATTTTAAATTACAATATTAATTTAATTACCGTCATTTGTAAATATATTTAAATATGTTATGCTTTAAAAATTTAGTAATTTATTATTATATATATTTTTGGAAATTTTAATTTTATTTAAATTGGATATGTTAAAATAAAATTTTAATTATAAATTGTTTTTGTAATTTTTAGTTTTAAAAGTAATAATTTATATTTATAAAAAAATTTGAATTAATTAAATAAAATTGAACAACACAATAATAATTTTAATTAAATTAATTTAACAAACTAATAAAATCAATATTAAAAAAATTATATTTTAAATTAAAAAATTATTGTTGACACGTGTCTCAATTGTAGAGAATGACATTTGCATGGTGACATATGTCTCTTTTTTAGTAGCACACGCGTCTCTATTGCGTGTTGAGGCATCTACTTAGTTACACATGTCTCTAGGTAGAGCCATATGCTATAAAAAATTTAGATTGGTGACTTTATTGCGTGTAGAGACATCTAGTTGTTTACACATCTCTTCATTGTAGGCAGTAACATATGATATAAAAAAATTAAAATTGGTAACTTTGTACCGGACAACATCATTAGTTTAAAAAAATAAAATAAAATAAAATTTGGTTCCTCAATGTGATACAATATCACTTGAATAAGTTTATATATAACCAAGTGACATTGAAGTTGAATGTGCCAACAATGATCTCGTTGACAACTCCAACGTCAACAAAAACAGTGTCACGTGTACAATTATACACCAATATTTTTTTACAAAAAAATAAATAAATTATGTGACATAAGATGTCATTACATTGACCAAGGACACCCATATTGACTACTACAAAGTAAGAATATGTTTAAAAACAACCTTAACCTTATAATTAGTTTACATAATAACCCTAACTAGATCACACAAGATATATATCATCTTTCATCTATTGATGTCTTTTGCACTAAGACATGACATCCAATGTCTAGAATGAGATTGGACAAATTAATGACTTTTACAACCATTATATAAACAAAATCAGTCTAGTATAAAACATTATCTCTCAATCCAAACCTAGGTGCAAAAACATTAAACAATAAGTTTTGAAGTAACCTATACATAGGTTTCATGTTCGCAAGTTTGAGGAAATTAATACTTTAGACCTTCAATCCTTGTTGGTCATTTTTGTTCATACAACATATAGCATCAACAATTTCCTACTATAATCACCACCTTTGATGTTGTCTCTATTATCTTCTCAATGATTTAAATCTGAATGTCAACATATGTTAGGTTCATCTTTTCATCATATGATTTTTTTTATCATGTTTATAATTTTTTTTTTCAAACATCAATTGAGTTTAGCAATTTTCATTTAGATGAATTTAATGAGATAAATTCTATGCTTCAAATAGTAAAAGACTATTCAAAATTGAATCTCAAAATTAAAAAAAAATCATTATTTTAAAAGGATTAAATCGATCCAAATTATAAGAAAAACTACAATAAAAATTTTAAAAGACAAAGAACCAAAATTAATCATAAAAATAAAATAAATAACTAAAAATATCTTTATCTTTTAGAGCTATAATGAAACAATAAATAAGATTCACTTATATATGACTATTCTTTTAGTCGGTCTTTTTAATTTTATTAAAAAACAAAAAAGTTAATTCTAGATATTTTCATGTGACTACAATCTACTACATATTACAATGAACCGGAAATTACTAGATATAAATTTGTAAATATAATACATAAAAAAACCAATAGATTAATATTTTATAATCACATATTATATTTTATTTAGATACAAAAATGAGATATATTTTTTTAATACAAAAAAATATAATATAAGATAATAATTTTAATCTATTAACTCTATATATTAAACGAGAACTGTTATATTGTACGAGAGTTTTTATTTTTCACGAGAAATGTTTTTAGATATTTCTAATCTTATCAAATTTTTATTTAATATATTTTTATAATTAAAATTTAACTCTACAGCAGATTTCCGGTAAGAACATAAATTATTATTATATTTGAATCTATAAATTATGTGACAAATTTTTATAATTATTAAACAAATATTTTTAAACATATAAATAATATTTTAGATTTATGATAAATAATTTATAACTTATATGTTTAAAAGTATTTTATAATATAAGTTATATATTAAAATATAATATTTATTTATACATATAATTTAATATAAATTTTAGTTATATATAATGAATATTTAGTTTGTAAAATACAAGCTAAAATGCTAGCTAATAAAATGAGGAAAAATTAACTCTTATATATTAAGTACCATTGCACAAGAACATTTTTAGGGAATTTTTAATCGATGGAAGAGTTTTCGTGGATTTCGTTAAACTTATTATCTAATTGTATTTTTTATTTATCATAATTATTTATAAATTAAATTTTAATATTTTAAAAATATTAATAAATAAAATAATATTAATTTACAATTAAATCATTTATCATAAATCTAATGCTTAAATATCTTTATAATTTTCTAAATTTAGAATAAATTTATTTTTGATCTCTTAAATTTAAATTTATTTTTAGTTCCTATGATTTTTAAAAATTATGTTTTAACTCCTCAAGTTATCAATAACATATCTCATATCTGAAAGTGATAGATTCAAACAATTATGCAGTATCAACTAATTTTTTTTTTCTTCTAATAAGAATATCATTATGTAGATTTACTAAGATAACATTTAACAAATTTGCTAACAAAATTTAAACATAAGAACTAAAAAAGAATTTTTTGAAATTACAAGACTAAAGAAATCAATTTAAAATTTGAGGAAATAAAATAAATTTATCTTAAATTTAAGGGGGTGAAAAATTTATTTAATCTAAATCTAAAGCACACAATTAATTTATATATTTAAAAATATTTATATATACAAATTATAAGTATAATTTATATATTCAAACATATTATATATTTGTATATATTATTTATTATAAATTTTAATAACATATAATATTTCCAAACTAAAATACTAATAACATAGAAACTAGCAATTAGTTATATATTTTACTTTTTAGTGTTCTCCTAACTCTCACCCTCCTAACTATGCTGGCCAGCTCAGTATTGTATATCTATAGCAAAGGCAACCAATAAGATATGTCTTCATATATGGCATCCACCTCAGTCCTTGTAGACGCAGAACTGTTGCACTTGCGCCTACACTTGTTTCGCTACTACACATTTACACCGTAAGAATCACATAGTAGATTATTGTTACGGGCAACGCAATCACCATGCCAAAGATAACCCTGCAAAATTTCTCAATTTCTTACTTTCACAATCATACTCTTAATCCACACCCCAAAAATGCATTTCTTATCATATCACACCTTTTCCAACACTTGAAAATTTACAAATTTATGTATTTTTTTTAATGAAAAAGATGTGTGTATTAGATAATATTATATATATTACATATTAACACACTTACGCTGAACTGAGTATGTCTGGGTGGAGATTATATTCTTTGGCGAATACAAAGGGAACAATACCCTGAGGAAGAGCAGCCTACAAAATTATAGTATAACAGTTATAGTATATAGTATATAGTATATAGATTTGGCATATATAATGTTATGCAATTTGATTAGTTTGAGGAATTAATTAAAAAGTGGGTTGGGTTTGACCTGAATAATTTCAACAGCAAAAAGTTCTCCACGGATACCCAAGGCTTTTGAGGTTGCAGCAACCACTAATGGAGCAACCAAGAACTTAATTGCCAATGCCATAACAGCCTTAGGTATTCCACAAGTAAGGAACTTGGGTTGTAATCCCATGAATATACCTGTTTAATTTGGACCAATATTATACACTTAGGAATACACCATATTATATATAGAAAGAAAAAAAAAAAGATGTTAATTGGAAGACAAGTACGTACCTAGACTGAACATGGACATTCCGAGAGCGGTATCAGACACGACAGTGATGGAACGGTGTATAATATATGGCAATTTTAATTTCCACCTGCATGGTCACAAGCAACAACGATTAATGGTAACAAAAATAAAATGAATCATAAGGTGAATGATGGTGAATTAAGTACCTAAACGATATGAGAGACCAAACAAGGCCTAAAACACTGGCGTAGGTATTGGGATTTCTTACGAGATTCCTCCAAACCATGGTGAGAATAAGCCTTATCATGACACCCACACTTGGCATTATTTGCCTTTTATTTGCATCACCTTCTTCAGTACTCCCCTCCTTCTGGCTCCCCATCACAGGATTTTCCTCACTTTCAACCTCATGCACTACTGCATATACAAAATGCATAGTTTAAATCAATTCAAAATTCTAATTACATGTTTTGAACTGATACAAATTAAGTGTGTTTTTAAGAGTTCAAACAACTTTTTATTTTCAATTGAAAATTTCTAAAAAAAATATTCTTCTAAACTTGTAGCAACATAAATATGTTTACTATACTCTTTTTAACATTTTTTTAACTTTTTTATTATTCACTAAAATTTATTAAAAATTATAAATTTGCGAGGCTTATATTTTAGTGATAAAATCTATCAAGAATTTATGATTTTTGCCAAATATTAACAAAGTATCAATAAAAGAGAATAACAATAGCATTTTTCTGGTATGGCCTGCTTGGGTAGTAATAATATTATGAAATCACAATCAGATTCACTTTAAAAAATTTATTTAAGATTTATGTCAATGTTATTTATCCATGGGAAAATCAATGCGGTTAACATTACTATTTCTTCCTACTACTTAAAGACGAAAAATGCAATGGAATTAATTTCAACATCTTGGTTAATTATAATTACTATTTCTGATCATACTACTTAAAGTATATCCATTAATTCAATGGAAATTCCGGGAAGGACGAACACATTCCATTTGGGGAACTAGCTACTACTTAGACCTATTTGCTTTCTATTTTTTAAAAGGGTTTTTATCTTCTTAAAATAAAAAATTATTTGATAAGAAAAGTTTTAAAATTAAAGACAATATTTTTTTATTATGTTTTTGAAATTAAAAAAGCTAGATCAATTCTTAGTTGTTTTGGTTTTCAGTTTTCAGTTTTCTAAGGCTCATACCCATACATTGCACCTGCAAGTCTTTCCCCAGTTTTATATACTTTCCAAAAATTAGTTTTGGAAATTGATTATAAAATAATTTTTAAAAACATAAAAATACAATTAAACACATTTTAGGTCTTTTTTGTTTATTGTTATTTCAAAAATATATATTTTTTTTTCTTTTTTATGTTTTTCCCTTGTGAACATTTGAAATCGTTTGTCTTTTTAGCATATTTTTGTTTTATAAAAACTTATATCCTAATTAAACACATGAAGAAAACAAAAGGAGAGGATGAAAAAATCTCTCAATTATTTTTTGATTTTCTATTTTATGAAATGATTTTTAAAATTTAATATATTTCAAATGAGGAATTGATTGTTGAGTAGTGTGAATTTATTTTAAAGGATAGTTTTTTTAAAAAAAATTATTAGAGAATCTAACAAACTCTTAATTTTCTAGTATTAACTTTTTTTCAAATCTGAGTTTTGAGCTCATTTCGGCCCTTATAGTCAACTCAATTAAATAGGATAAAGCTAATATACCGACTCAAAGATAATGAAGCCAAATAAATAATCTCCTAAAAGTTTCTTAGTATATAAATCAATTGAGAATACTTATTAATATGGTAATTTAAGAAAAATTAATAATAACTCTTAAATTCAAATAAATGACTTAAATTAAAATATTATAAATAAAGTTATTATGTATCTTTATCATTGTTGTCTTTATTATCATTACAACAATTGTCATCACTATTACTCTCATCATATCACTATTATATCACCACAATTTTTATAACCATTATTGTTGTTATCATCGTTATCATTATCATCGTTGTCACTATTATCACTGTTACTATTATCATTATTACTGTCACATGGTGGCAATGACATAGTAGTAGTGCTATTTGTAGTAATGTGGTGACAATCTGCTAGAGGTGGAGGTGATGATGATTAAAATAACGATAATAAAAACAATAATGATAGGGATAATTAAGATGATTGCGATACATGATAACTTCAATTATAATCTTTTACTCTAAACTATTTATTTTAATCTAAGAGTTTATTATTTTCATATTATCATACTAGTAAGTATTCTAACTTGAATCACCCTCATAATAAATAAATAAATAAATAAATATATATATATATAACTAAATTTTTTAAAAATTAGATACATAAATACACAAATATTAATATTATTATTTAATGTCATTAATACATTATTTTTCAAATATATAAATAAACATTTTTTTTTTCTCCTGAGACTCTTGACTTTCTAAAATCCACCGTCAATTCTATTGACTACATTGAATATTTCATTTTGTAGTGATTGACTGCATTGAATTTTCTCATTCATGTTAATCATCATCTTAAAGAAATAGTTATTTTTTTCAAAAGCTATTCTTTTTAATAAAACTCTACATATTCAATATTAATTTTTAATAATTAAAATCACTACATTTATTGACTCATTGTTGATGTAAATTACTCAAAGACTAGTATAACATATGATTTGACCAAGATTTAGAGGCAAACATTACATAGCTTAAATGCTTACGTCATACCTTCAGCGGTAACAGTTTCATGTGGAAAATCAACGACCTTGGAAGATCCATTCACTCCACCATGTCTCGAACTAGCATCGGAAATTGGCAATTCATTTGAATTCCAATGCAACCTGTTATTATTAGTTGCACAGCCATAGATATTCACAATATCTATGTTCCTTTGACCACTACTTTTAGACCCAGGAAGCTTCGGGTACGAGGAAGCCAAACCGTTGTTAAAATTTCCATCGCTACAACTCTTGCTCCTCCAAGTCCTATTCTCCTCATCATCATGTTGCGCACTCGCGACATCAAAATTCGAGGCTCCTTCCGTTGGTTCTCGAAGCGAATTGCGCATCAACGAAGACGCCACAGACAGAGAACGTGAAATGCTCCTAACCCTCACATGGAGTACCCCGTTTTCTCCGATTTCAGCGTCAGCATGCAAGGGTTCCCTTCCGCTGAGAGAGCTAATATTGGAATCCACCCTGAACGAGGCAATGGCCCCTGCGGTGTCGGGAAACTGTTGCGAAATGAGAAGCTTGGCGGCTCTATACTCGAACATGAACAACAAAAGAGTGTTCCAAATGACACCTTGTAAGAACACGATTTGGATCATGAGACTCTTGGTGAAGTCCCCGTACATGGCTTTCAGAAGCGGGACTCCCATGATGAGTGTGTTGGGGAGAGAAGCGAGGGAGAAGAGCGTGATGCTCCAGTTGAAGCTACCCCATTTGGTGAAACTGTTCCACAGGATCAGCACCACGATGGTCACCACTTTTTGGAGCGAGTCCGCGACTAAGAACTTGAGGTTCATGGTATAAGGGTCGTTTTGCATTATGTAAAAGAAAGCAAGGAAAGGGACTGCGAACATCGACACGAAACGACTCACACCTAGGCACTGTTCGGGGGTGAAGATCTTCCACCAACGCACGGAGCCGTAGGCTAGGATCATGGACACGTAGAGGGGCACGAGAGCTTCCACTACGTGGTAAACGTCTTTGCCTCCGATCATGGTTGATTGATTCAAGCAGAAGGGTAGAGAATTATGAGAGATTAATTGTGATCAAATAATGGTGGTGGTGTTTAATATATATGAGAAGGGTGTAGTTGTGTATATATAACATGAATGAATGGGAATTAGAAAGGTGTCCAAGAGGTTGAAAATATATATTGAAATATTAATTCGAGGTTGGTCATGGTCATCCTCTCTTTTATTAACGTGTCATTCGATATTTTTAAAAAGAGAAATGAACCTAATTAATGAGCTTCATTGGAAGAAGCTTCCATAAGAAAAAGAAAAAGAAATGTTGGTTTTCCAACAAATTTTATTCGATTAAAGAGAGGCAAAATAAATAGAAAAATTGTACAACTTCTATCCCTATTTATAACATCATTTCATTTTATTTTTTTTTAAAGTTGGTGATTGACTTTAGTTTTATATAAAATTATATATTATTTTAATCTAGATATTTTGTAAAAAAAAATCTTTAAACTAAATTACACTTTTTAAAAAGAATTAATTAATTAGTTAAAAGTATTAAATTTGTCCATAATTATCCTCTACTACCATGATATAATTAATTAAGTATTTTTATTCTTATTAATTAGAATTAGTCATCAAATTCAACTTTTCTTGTGTTTTATATTTTTTCATGTATCCGTAATTTTACTAGAAATTTTTAAAGAGGTTAGTGATTGATCCCCTTAAAGAGGTTGGTAATTAACTTTATCCCTGCATGAAATCATGTTTTACATTAATTTAAACTTTTTACTACTAAAAAATAATTTATCAATAATTTAAACTACTTTTTTAAAATTAATTTTATTTCTTTTCATTTAATTTCTTTTCACCTAATATTATACTACATCTTTTTATGTTTATAAGACTTTTTTAATTAAAAAGTACAAATTAAATGTTATTAACATTAAATGGAAGGAAAGAAGATGTTAATTTTGGAAAAATAATATAAATTATTCACAATTTAATATTTTTAACTAAATTAGTTATTTTTTAAATTGTGTAATTTAGATAAAAGATACACACAAAAATGTAACCTTAAATCTGTACATGTAACATAGACAAAAGTAATTGAAAAGGTACACACAAAATTACTACATCTGTCTATTTATATAAGGCTTTTTCAACTAATTTAAAATCTTTAAAAAAGTTTATTAATTTAGCTAATAATATTGAATTATTCTTTCAAAATTTCTCTTAATATTATTAAAATTAATTATCTATTTTTATTTAATTATTTTTCACTTAATTAATGTTTAGAAATATAATATTAATTATCTAAAAACTACTATATTTGTTCATCCTCTCTAATCCAAATAAGAGATAGAAAGAATTTAGCTCATTAATTTTTATTATTTATTATTTATTATTTTTTGACTAAAAGTATTGATTAAATAATTATGTATTGTAAGAAAAAAAATACAAAAGACAAATGGAGAACGATCTTATAAAAATGGATAAAATTTAAAAATAAAAAAAAACTCAAATATAAGAATAGAGACGGAATTGTTGTATGAATTTTTGTATAAATAATATAATTAAAAATATAAAATATAATAAATAAAATGATATATAATAAGAATAAATTCTCAATTTAATTCCTAATTATTACTTTTTATTTAGTCATTAGTGTAAGAAAATTACATAATAATCTATTATAAGTAGAAATAAAAATAAGTCATGTCTTAAATAAGGATTTATGTAAGTATAAAGACTGAGTTTAGGCTTAAACTTATAAATTATCAATATTTAAAATATGTTTTTATAATTGTCTTTTTTGCATTACATGTTTATAAACTTATAATTTATACGTGAGTGTACATTAACATATATGACTAAGCATGAATTGTTTCTTCAACAGAAAATAATTCACTTTTTCTCATATATTTCATTAATTGAAATTTTAATAATATTGAATAAGCTATAATTTAAATTTTTATATAATATATTAAAAAATAATATATGTATATTATTAAAAATATAAATAAATAAAGTAAAATAGAGAGAGAGAAATAAGAATATGAGATGGAGGAGGAGAGCCAGAGTGAGGGATGAGAAAAAAAAGAGGAGTGAGAGTGAGAGAGACAAAGAGTAAGAAACATAAATAAGAGAGGGAGAGAATAAATTATCAATATTTAAAATATTTTTTATATAATTATTTTTTTATTAAAAATTTATAAGTTTATGATCTATGTGTGAATATACATCAACATACATAACTACACATGCTTTTTTATATTTCTTTTAAAAATTAAATTTTAATAATATTGAGTAACTATATTTTAAAAATAAATTTTTTGACTTTTTTAAAAATTAAGTTTATTTGCCTAATTAATACTATTAATATAAATAGATTTTTAAATAGGTTAATAATTTATATTAGACTTTAAAAAGGTCATATCAAGTTTATAAAAAGTTTATAATAAATAATAAGTTAGACTTAAATTTTAATTTTGTAAAATAGGTTCAACCTATATATTCAAAACCTACCCTGACCTGCTCTATTATTATCCCTAAATACAAGTTAGAAATTATAATCAATTAAAAGATTCTATCCTACAATATTAATAAAATATTTAGCATTGTATATTTTAAGATATTTCAAAAGGTTAATTTATTCATGAAATTATTTTAAATTTAAATTTAAATTTAAAATTTTTTTTGTTAATTATAAGTTTTAAAACCTAATTAATATTGATTTTGATGAGACATTATAACTTGACCATTGTACTTTTAATTAATTTTAATTGTCAAACATCTTAAAAATTAATTGATTTTAATTATCATGATTAATTATAACTATAACGGAATTTTTTTTATTAATATTGAGAATTAGAATCAATAAGAATTAGAGGTATCGAGTATTATTCTCTTCTCTATTCACTTTTTTTCTGAGTTAGAGTGGGAACTTGTTATTTTCTTCCCTTCTCTACTCTCTCCTTTTTTTAGTTAGAATGGAGATTTTTGTGAAAGTCTACCAATAAGCCTTTTAAAATAGTGTATTGCACGTCTTAGAAATTCATATCACTCTCAATAGATAAGAATCTAAAAGACTTAAAATTATCTATAAAAATTCTTGGAGATCAAGTTTGTAACATCCCATTTATCATGGGCCAAAGGCCCAATTCGTGGCCCCAGAACGGGCCGTTTCAAAATTGAAACGGGCCGTTCT